GTAGTAGTAGTAGTAGTAGTAGTAGTAGTAGTAGTAGTAGTAGTAGTAGTAGTAGTAGTAGTAGTAGTAGTAGTAGTAGTAGTAGTAGTAGTAGTAGTAGTAGTAGTAGTAGTAGTAGTAGAAGTAGTAGTAGTAGTAGTAGTAGTAGTAGTAGTAGTAGTAGTAGTAGTAGTAGTAGTAGTAGTAGTAGTAGTAGTAGTAGTAGTAGTAGTAGTAGTAGTAGTAGTAGTAGTAGTAGTAGTAGTAGTAGTAGTAGTAGTAGTAGTAGTAGTAGTAGTAGTAGTAGTAGTAGTAGTAGTAGTAGTAGTAGTAGTAGTAGTAGTAGTAGTAGTAGTAGTAGTAGTAGTAGTAGTAGTAGTAGTAGTAGTAGTAGTAGTAGTAGTAGTAGTAGTAGTAGTAGTAGTAGTAGTAGTAGTAGTAGTAGTAGTAGTAGTAGTAGTAGTAGTAGTAGTAGTAGTAGTAGTAGTAGTAGTAGTAGTAGTAGTAGTAGTAGTAGTAGTAGTAGTAGTAGTAGTAGTAACATAACAATCCTCCTTCATAATTCAATCCTAAGAATTCTCCTAAATTCATCTATTTAATTTAACGTGTGATCATCAATGGATAAAATAAATAGATATGTAAGATTTTAATGTATAAATGACATAACTATCTGTTTTCTAATTCAGCTTAACTTTGTAAAAATAGCTCACAGGTATATACATTAATGTGTGGTATGTGTGTGTTTGTAAGTGGATGAGATGGAGGTCAAATTGTATTGTATCATATACATATTTATTTATCTAAACACATAAATATTGGTACTAGGAAGCACCAGATATATATGCGCCACACAATTATCATTTGATTTGTGTGAGGGCTGTGATACTGCCCGGTTACTCGAACCGAAGCAGGTGGTTTTCTTAAGGGGCCACACCACCAGCCTATGACCTTAAGTTCTGATCTACAATGCAGTGGAGCCTCGTAGGGAGATGCAATCCCATGGTTGCCGGTGACCAACGATTGATTCATACGCCATTTGTTCCTTGAGAATCCTGGAGCCCATGTGCACCATCGGTTTGGAACGAGGTTTTTCCAACTCCTTAGGTGGACTTTCCGTATCCACCAACCCGGTTAAATAACTGGACATTCGCTTTTCGTCCTCTGAATTTCGTAAACAACAGTAATGTCACGAGAAGGCAGTGAATAAGACTTCCCTGTCAGAGGCTATATACGCATGGCCATGTGAGAGCATTTCGAGAGAGGGGGGGAGAGTGGACTCTCCCCACTCTTGGCCGTACCAGGGCATTTGGAGGCATATTGTATCATGTTTGTCTATTTTTAAACAAAATAACTAGATAATCATAATATCAGAAGGGGGGTTTTTATGGATATTATAGTAGTTTTAGTAGTTGAGATCATGAGGAGTCCCACAATGGGACGAAACGGCCGTTCATTGCTTCCAGGTTTTTTCATGATGGTCTAGCCGTCAATTGATTTATGATCTCGACTATTAAAATTACTTAATCATAAGTTGAAAATTTGTTTGAATAGTTTAGAAATAGATTCTACATATATATGAATATGAATATAATTGAAACAGCTATCAATCATTGCTTTACTTCAATTTCTTACATAACAATGATGTATATATTCGTGGATATTTTAAGATATTGATTTCTCATAACTTGTCTTACTGATTGTAATCACTTATAACGATAATATTTGTTATGTCCTAAGCCCCGTCAAATATCACGCAACAAGATCACCAATCAAATCACTGACTTATACAACCTTGACATTTTTAACCAATACGAACAGCCTAGATTCAACTCTGAGTCCTTATTAATTTTTCTCGTCTAGCCCTGCTCAATTGAGTCCAAAACATAATCTCAGCTTTCACTGTATGAATTGTGTATTTCAGACATACACAGTTTATATACAAGCAAAATCAGACCACATCATGACATAAAATAGAAAATAATAATGATACAAGGCTAAAAGTGGCTGTGAGTGTAAGAGACTGTAACTAATAAATTGAGAATAACTTAAGAATAGCAAATAGTATAATAATAGTCAATAAGTCAAGTGGAAGCTTATAATAGAAGGAATATGAATATACATATAATATAGTTACTTCATAGTTATACAATAGGAATACAGATTTATAATAACAGTCTATAAATAAAGATCGATAGTGGCTAGCAATGGAATGCAGTTTGACGCGTGCTTCGTCCTATTTGGGACTCGTCAGCTGAGTGGATAACGCGATGGCGTTTGAAGCGAAAGATATTGAGTTCGAGTCCCAGAGTAAACATCAAATCTGAGATGCAAGTACATCCAGCTGACGAATCCCAAATAGGACGAAGTGACGCGCATCCTGGATTCCACTGCTAGCCACTATCCATCATTGCTTACCATGTTTGTGAATTTAGGACATATCGAGGCAATACGCACAGTATGCACATATGCCAATAAGAGACTGACCAGTTGCAGTCCTAACACATCAATGGGAAGATTCAAACAAACAATACTAATTGGATTTAAGTCTACAAATACTTCCTAGAAGTTACCCATAATTTCATTTCATTCGAACACAACAATGTTCATTTCAAGCTGATTTCCATCGTCATTCCACTGGCTAGTCAAGTGGTTGAGATTTTTATGATTCGGGTTTTTTTTTCTGCACACACACATTCATCCACACAATTTCTTTTAGGTTTGTCATCTTCACATCGATATATATGTATTCAGACCTGTTTTTTGATTGAGCACACATAATATTCTTGTGTTGTTCCTTTGTATTATTTAAACTTCAATTAATTTTGATCTGGTTATTTATTCTCTAAAGAAGTGGCTTACACTGAGTTACGAAACGTCAGAGAATCTAATTTTTCTACTGATTGAGATATTAAAAATATATTACTTTCTTTACTCTAAGTACAAAATACTTGTTTCATCAGATCATATTGTCTGTTTCAATGTTTAGTAGTCTGATCATATCAGTCAATCAGTCATATACAACGTAAAACTTGGCACATATGTATATCGATTCGAATTTCCATGTCATATTAGCCCAGAAAGATGAAATTGTCAACGTGAATCCCAAACTAGTAAAGATTAGTGACAGTACTAGTGACAATAGAAAAGAGTAAGTATCAAAAATATAATCCTACAAGAAAAGATAAATTAGTGAGAGAAAAAATTAAGATGCTTGTAAATTTAGGGACCATTTAATTAACACTTCCGAGTTTAGAAGCAGGGTACTAGGTAAGTACGGTGAATCAATTAACAAGATACTTAATCATTATGGACTGAGGTGGAAAGAAAATATACTACGTATCCTTATCTGTCGACTATTTCGACGCGTGACGATTGCCGATGTTGGAGTAGGTTGGAAGAAACATAGAATTGATCGAACCAAGACATTGAATCAATCCATGAAGACACTGAATGATGGACTGAGCTATCTAGGTAGGTATGGACTATCTGATTAGGGTCTGCGTAGTTATCTTAGCCAATGGTTGGAGACTTTAAATAACATGGCTCAAGCGCACACTCAGTCTTTTTTTCACCCACCTACTAAATTTCTGTGTTAGCTTATAATCTCATTTTTATCTCATCAATATCCATATTTCCTTCTCTCATCGTATCTTCTATGCTCAGTCTTTGACGTTATTTCCTATACTACTCTGGGACAATTTCATCTCGTTCTAATAGCTAATGGAGACTGAAACCTATGTACTCATGTGCCATATTCTACTTTGCATATGACTGATTGTCTGCTTTAGTTAATATCATCGGATTTCATTTTTAACGTGTTATTCAAAGTGAAAGACGATTACCTATGTGTATTTGGTCCAGGAATTATCTGAAGAAGTGATTTACTATTTAAATCACTTAACTTGCAATGTTAACTGTTTCTTCCAGTCATATTTTTTTAGATTTCGAAGCATAAAATAGTGTTATATCGTCAGAACGCTAACTGTTGTAATTTGTGGCCTGTCTGGATGCCCTCTAAATGTATAACGTGATAATACCCGCCAATTAGAATACAGTGATTTATCGATCGGACCAATGACACACAAAACCCATGCGATCAGTCTAGAGCACCTGTCGATCCTGCTATCTGCTTAGCCCAGCCAGTTAAGTCCAGAACACCAATAACAGTCTCTGCGATATGAACCATTATTCTCAAACATATGGGGTTTATATACCAAACAGACTGACCACATCGTACCATAAAATAGAAAATAACATTTGTACGAAATTTGACTAAATGTGGCTGTGAATAGGGGGAACAGTAATTAATAGACTGGGCATAACTCAAGAATGGTAAATCGTGCAGTAGTAGTTTTTGGGTCAAAATAAAGCTCATAATAAAAGGAACACGACTATGAATAGTTAAGTTACTTAACAGTTATAAAATAGGAAATATACATGTCATATTGGTCCATAAATAGTTCTCAAAAGTCACCATTCATAATTCTGTTGGGGATAGTTTAGTCTGTTTAATATGTGTTTTTCAAATAACTGTCTAGTTTCCTACTAAATAATTGATTGTTAGCATTCTTTCCAGGCTTTCCTATTTATAACAATCAGACCATACTATTGATTATTAGAAAACGTCGTACGATACTCTTGTCAGCTGGAGTTATTTCCTAATACATATTTTCACAGTTTAAATCATAAACTGATCCCAGCTAGGCCTTCATTGGAAACCTACTGGTACTGGGAATTCTCGGGAATGTACACCCACGACCCGCCCTGCTTAAGAAACTTAAGGACCTTCGGTCTTTGGTGTAAACGCTTAACCTCTAGACCACTGGATTAGTATTCAGTGATGTGCATGTGTAACTTCAATCGATTCGCGATAATGAGCGACTATGATATATTGTCTGAGGTGAATAATTGTACTCCACTGGTCACACCTCACTAGAACAATTTTGATAACTCTTAAAATTAGTGTCATATATGTATCCTTTTCTCTAATTTTTTTTATTTATTAAACAACTTTTTCACAGTCTAATGGTTAATTGGAGATTTTCTCGTGGAGTAGAAGATCAGACAAATGCATTCCTCACTGGTTTCGAAGATGTATTTCCTCTTCAATGGTTACAATATTTCGATGAACGTGAATTAGAAGTTAGTAAACGTTTTTTTTGTTTTCTTTTTCTTTCTTGTTCATAAAGAAACAATTCTTAGTATGGGTTTGTGGAGATTGTTAAGTTCTTTATTGAGATCATAAATCGATCGATGTTAAACCCCCATTGAAAACCTGGAAGCACTGGACGGTCGTTTCGTCCTAGCGTTCGCGCACGAGGTCGAATTTCCTGGGTTCGAATTCTGCGTGCGGCTATGTGGGGGCGCACTGCTGAGAAGTCCCATACTAGGATGAAACGGTCGTCCAGTGCTTCCAAATTTTCAATGATGGTCTAACGTAGATCGATTTATGATCTCAATCAAGAAACAATTCATTGAAGGAACGTTAAAATGCTTGCAACCTTTCCATTCTATTTCAAAAATTTTCAATAATAGTGTTTTCACTGTTGAAATTCACATGGAATCTAATCTAGAACTTTCAAATCAAAAATTTCCAGTCTTTGTGATTCAACACTGAATACTTATCGAATAATATCTATCAATTTTACCATGTCACTATTGATTTGGCTGGAATTCAACAAGTCACAATTTCTCATCGTAACATTTCACTTTAACCGATATGGAATCAGTTTGATATGTGTTTAATTTGTTCTTGGAACCCTGATTTGTCTACTTCACTGTATGACTGACAAAATTGTGTACGTTAATACAACCAGATCGACATGAAAATCACGTAAGCCTTGAGCTTATTTTATAAGTCTCAGTTGTTATCTACATTCATAGTCAACACAGAATTTGATAAGTTTCCAGATCACATTAATCTGACGGGAAAGTGAACTAACAATATGCATAGCATATGTGTCCACAATAACAGTAGTATCGATGAGGAATTAAAAAGATCAGACATTTGGAATTGCGATTAAAAAAGGAAGAACGAATACAAAAAGTGAAAGTACTGTGTAATATTAAAGTTTTGTCCGCCACAGTTTTTGATACCTGTATGGTTACGGCACAGGACTTAGTTGTATTGTCCAGATCATACTGTATAGTCGCTGATCCCCCCCTAAAAATCAATGTAAAATTAGCTTCTTGCATAAGATATTTAGGTGATTGTGAATGTTAGCGTTTCAAACGTAGAGTGAATGGATCTATGCCACTGTTACCGATTATAAGCCACGTTATCCAACATGTACAACGATTGTTCACGGTTATAACTTGGACCCCCTCTTCAACCAGGTAGTCTGCATCTAGCAGCACAGTTCAGACACAATAGTCAGCGACTTGGTGGATTAATGCCACGTTTTAGTCCGGCCCTTTCTATCTTTCCTCCAACAAATTCCTTGTCCAACTCTTATTATGGGTTATGATAGACGGTGTTTAATCATAAATAATACACATGTCTTAAATATCAGAGTTAGTAGAGGTTAACAGCCTCATCAACCAATTTGTCATATTTTCCCAGTACTCACAACATTGGTCGCTCGATTGTGCGACTATACGCGATCACTGTTTCACAATTTAATGGATCTCAGAAGCCTCCACTAAACTAATACCAACTTGGAAATCTATCTCAGCTGGTTTAAAGTAAATGAATTAAGCGTAGACTAACAAAAATTCCACATGATAACTATTTTGTGTATACGTCAACATTATATTTACTAATTCAAGTCGGTTAGTTTTATTCTCCCAACAGTGTAATTACCCAAAAAAGATAATAATTACTCATGAGACCGTAGTAACCAACAGTGATCCATGTCATCTAATGTTTTCATCCATTAATCAAGATAATCTCTCAGACTCCGACCAGATACATCGAATAACCACTGACTTCATGGACTTATGCGATGTATTGATTTAGTTATCACGAGTTTTATTCCATCTCACTACTACTTCAACCACCATTGCATGTTGGAGTGGTCCTAGACCTGACCAGTTAAATGTTCGAACCTTCACAGCTAACCTTGAATTCCAAGAGAAGTCAGCGGCTAACTCCAACTATCTCAAACACTGACGAGTTTTCAGACTGCACAGTTTAGTAAATAAGAAACCATACTTTGAACACAGTTATGAAATAAGAGGCAAAGAGCGAAGCAGCAGATCCACCACTAATTAGTAATAATTAAGGAATAGTTAAACTTGTAAACACAGTTAATAAGTCTACTGGAAGCCTAAGGCAAGGAAGATACAGGAAATAATACAGTTACTTACACACATACACAAAGTTTAAATAATAATAATAAAAAATAGTCCCAGTAGTTCCAGCTTTCCAGTACTCGTCCCTTTATAACAGATAGGCACACACAACGCTTGTCCCAGCCACTTAAGTCAATATGGATTCACTACCTCGTCAATCAATTTACTACAACTACCTAGTACTCTGGATCTAACCTCAGAATCTCACACTCCATGATCACAACATACTCGAGCATCGATTCCAACATATCTATGATCAGGTCCTAATAACCTATGAATATCCTTTAATTCTATGAAACACGTTTCACAGATATGAAGTAATGCATTTCAAATTGGTGCATAGTGAACATGTCTTCTAGTTGACAAATAGACAGACAGATGTCTCACCTATGTTACAAGTGACTTGAGTTGGTAGAAGCTGACCGAGATTTAATCAGACGTCGACTGATCAAGGTTGATGAGACTTACGAGATAACTCAATTGATTGTCATACTCAACTACTTTACTCTCGTTTATTAGTTTAGACGTTGATACAAACCAATCCTGAAACATCATTTTGTGTATGTAAAGAGAGAGAAACGTATCTCAATCATACCTTGTTTTATTATATGTAACAGTCTATATAATCCTCTTTTTAAAATTTGGCTGATTGACGAAGTTCTAAGTATCAGTCATGTGACCAAATTATCACTTGCTATTAATCCCCTTCAGTTTATATTTCCAAATAATTTTCTCAGTTATCTAGTAGTAGGTTGCCATAACAAAATATTTTTATTGGATTTTCCAAGGTTATTTTAATAACCTATCTATCTTTGTATACTGTATTTAGTAGTGTAAAGTTTATATGATTGCCCTCTTTTTCACAAAACTAACCCATAAAGTCGTTGAATATTGATCTAATTTGTGTCAGCAAACTCATGCCTCTTGATTTTAACATCCACTGGATAATCGACATTACTGATTGGAAATGTTAGGTGGTATTATGACTCAGAGTTGGTCGAAGTGGAACAGTTACACTCACTATCTATCTATTTATTTAGTAATGATAATATGTAGTCTATACGACTGCCTTCTTTTTCGCGAGACAATAAAAAAGTCTCCTGCAAATACAGTTCATCATTCTTTTTTGTTTTGTTTTATGTATACATCTTTGATTATGTTAAATAGTTAGTCGGAGGTATTCTGTAGGAAACGTTATTTGATCTTAAGCCTTTTGTTAATTAAGCTATGCTCAAAGACGTAGTGGTTACAACTGTCAGCTTTGGATCAATACTGTTAGGTCGTCGATTTGAACTGTCTACTTCACCTACTTCCGCTCAAACAACTGAGTTGTAGATTACCAGTATTCGTCACATAAATCTGTAATTGGTAGGATATCCTTCCAATCTTGACAGAGCCATGGTACTCTTTGTTAGTGGTATTTATGCAAGTGTCACAATCATATATGTATACCCAAGTTTTTTCACTAACGTTAACATTTTACGCTCTAAAATTTCATCGCCTGAATATTTGAGCAGTAGATTTTGGTGTTTTTCTCGCAGCAGTCACTGGATCTGATTGTCCAATCACAACTTCTTCAATCAATTCGCAATATAGTAGGACAACATTTTATTGTGGTTTGTAATAACTGTTTTACTGCCAAAATGTCTGGGTCACTACATCTCACCAGAACTCCAAAAACTCATATCGCTTCAAGATCTGAAGGTTGTAGTTAAAGACTGCTAAGGAGTCTTATACTAGAACGAAACAATTGTCCAGCCATCCCTAATTTTCAGTAATACTCCAACTAAGATCAGCCTGTGATGAATACAGCCCATAAAATAATAATTTATTTAAGTTGATAGGTGATAATACACACCTATCCTATATACTTCAAAACTGAATATCCATGAATCACTAACCTGTGTTTAAGGTGTATTTTAATTCGCTTATTTGCCTCAAAGTTAGCAAAAGATACTAGAAATTCAAAGGTTTCTCTTTTGATGTAAAACAGTATTATGAAGGAGGATTGATTTAAACACATTAGGAGTCGAAAATGTTATTTTTCAATTATTTCAGTTTTAAAATAATTTGGAGTCCTTCAATCAAAATATTTACTGCACAAAAAGTTGGTATGTTTATACATTGTTGTGGCGTATGCTGGAGGATATGTATGTGTAATGTCGGGGTTAGATGGAGAGTGTGCCAACTGGTTAAGTTGATAAGGTGATGAACCTGCATCGATGGAAGTAGAACATTTAATAGACACCCTTGATCATTGCCCTCCTCGATGCATAATTCTGTCTGACTAGTGTAGAAATAACCCAGAGGCAATCAGTTTATGAAGCTATTCCCGACCGTTGTTGCTAGCTTGACGTGGTGGTTGGGCTTGCCTATCGTGATGAACCAATCGAGCTATACTGGCTAGAACAATCGTTCCTCAAGGTCCTACCATGCCAGGTAGGTCGGTTGAAGAGCGGTAAGACTAAAAGCAGCAAACCCAAGGTCCAAAGGCGAAGTCGTACTGCTGACTGTACAAAGGTGTGACAGCAGTAAGGTGTTCCCTTCAGACAACCAGCATAATATCGATGCTGCCTTTCCACAAGGAGGGGTGGGGTTAGAAAAGGTCAACCCTAAAAATGCACACCTCGCCTTATCCCATGGATATCCGTCTCCGGCGGTAAGGTCTCAACAATTACGGAGCTAACACAAAAAGGTCGTGTTTGACCGACCTCAAGCAGTTGTCCCTTGGGCACTGCGGTCACGCTCTCAGGTCATCAAGACAACTTCTAACCCAATTTCCTTTTCAGATACCTCTAGAAGAACCCTTCCACGGTGTGGGCAACCGGGAAGTGGTAACCGCCCTCATACCTCTAACAGCACTCAAGACCACTGTATTCATAATCAATCTCCTTCTTCAATTCCTACTATTCCTTCTACTTTGACTTTCAACACTAAACTTCCTCTTCCGGTTTCCTCATCAAGTGTCACCATGGCTAACGATTCTAGTGCGCGAAACACTATCCCAGGTCTACTAAAGCCTCGCTCCAAACTACACATTGGAGCCTTCAACGTACGTACTTTAAGTCAAATCGGTCAACAGACCTCCTTAGCTAAAACCCTAGAATCTCGTACCATTGAAGTATGCTGTGTCTCCGAAACACGCATACAGGATCCTAGTGTGGTCATTCACTTGACCTCACCTCGCCAAAATGGATAGCCAACGAAATACACCCTCCGTGTATCTGGCGACCCGTTGGCTAGTTTTCGTGGACTTGCAGGTGTAAGCATAGCACTAAGTACAAAGGCAGAACAGTCACTACTAGAATGGATCCCCGTTGACAGTCGCCTATGTGCTGTCCGGCTAAATGGCTCCGTAAGAAATCGGAAGGATAGGGACACACGTCGTTGCCTTTTCGTCGTTTCTGCCTACGCTCCCACTGACTGCAGCCATGATGAAGTGAAAGATGACTTTTACAGAAAGCTCTCTGAGCTTCTTCAGAAAGCTAAGCGCTCAGACATAGTAGTCGTAGCGGGTGACTTTAATGCCCAGGTAGGCAGCTTAAATCAAACAGAAAGACATTTAGGTGAGTGTTTTAGTATTCCGGCTCAACAAACCGATAATGGTGATCGTCTGTTGCAACTATGTTCAGACAATCGTTTATTTTTAGCAAGCACTAATTTTAAACATAAAGAGAGACATCGTTTAACATGGCAACCACCTGCACCAAACCAACGATGGACTCAAATAGACCATATTGTCATCAGTCATCGTTGGAGAGGCTCAATAGAAGATTGTCGCTCGTATTGGAATACTTGTTTAGACTCTGATCACGCTTTAATACGAGCGCGCATTTGTCTGCGCCTCAATGGACGCAGGAAAAGCACACTAAGAAGACCCATTAGGATTGAACTGGAGGACGAGAAAGCCAAATGCGAATTCCAGAAACAACTGAGTTCACATCTAGGCAGTTCTGTAATTGAGACTGACCCAGATGCTGCTTGGAAAGACATATGAACAGTTGTGGAAACAGCAGTAACATCTATTAGTCATTTAAACCATAGGGCTCCAAAAAACCAATGAATTTCTTCTAAGTCTATTTCACTGATGGATTCGCGTAAACTCATCCCATCAGGCTCTGAACATGACGAAGAGCGTAAACAAATTAGATCTAGGTTAACTAAAAGTCTAAGGAATGATCGTGAGCAGTGGTGGGCAACGAAAGCAAAAGAGATGGAAAAGGCAGCGGCTGTAGGGAACACCAGGCAACTATTCAGACTAATAAAAGAAACCGGAATTAAGAAGTCAAGTGTGAGTGAGACAATCTCGGAAAAAGACGGAACCCTTATCTGCTCTCAACCCAAACGTTTAGAACGATGGGCGGAACACTTTAAGGAGCAGTTTGGCTGGCCTTCGGCTACTGCACAACTACCCACTATTCCCAGAAAACCTGAATGGAACATTGAAGTAGGCTCCCCGACCCTACCTGAAGTTCAAAAGGCTATAGGTAATCTGAAACGAGGAAGAGCAGTTGGCTTAGATGGATTGGCTCCAGAGGTCTTTAAATATGGTGGTCCAATTTTAGCTATTAGGTTGACTAATATTCTGGCTAAAATCTGGGAAACGGACGTAATCCCATCTGACTGGTCACAATCTCTGATTGTCCCAATATATAAGAAGGGGCCAAAATCATCCTGTGATATCCATAGAGGGATTAGTCTGACTAACATAGCATCTAAATTACTAGCCTCAATAATTATCGGGCGCCTAACTAAGACTCGTGAACTGCAAACACGAGAAAATCAGGCTGGCTTCAGACCTGGTCGTGGCTGTATCGACCACATATTCACCATTCGTCAAGTGCACCACGACACACTGTGCTGACTTGTGTACGGTATGGTTGGAAAAGAGTTAGGGGTGGTCAAAACAAAACATGGCATCAAAGCATGAAGTCACTAACTTCTAGTCTGAGCCATGTTGGCAGATGCAGACTACCTGGTTGGGGTCCACGTGACTATCGTAACCATTGGTTGAAGACTCTGTGTGACATGGCTCAGAATCTATCACAATGGCGTAGGTGCATACACTCTTTATCTTCCCTTAAACCTTGAGATTAAAATTGCTTCATAACTTTTTTCCTTCCTATACTATATCCTTCTATACAACCTTTTTTTTATATACTACCACCACTAAATTAACTACTTCTATGAATCCGGTGTTCATCTTGTGCTAACGAGGTATGGCAACTTGGACCGATACATATATGTGCCTGGTCCTACGTTGTCGCTGACTGACTGACTGAATTATGAAGCTATTGAGCCAATCCTTGTCAACAGGTGCACACTGTCTGGTTGGGATCAGTGCGACAATCGGGACCACTGATCAGAAATGTTAAGTGATCACATGATTCAAAATTGGTTAAAGTGTAACTGTTACATTCACTATTTCGTATTCACTTATTTTATAACCTTATTCTCTACTATTTCATCTTCCTTACGATCGATCACTGTAGTGCTAACATGATTAATTCGTCTTCTGTGCTAACCCATCTCAATGATCTCATCTCTTGTTGTTGTTCTTATTTAATAGTTCTTTAATCAATGCAATATTTATACCCTGGTTCAATGTTATTTATCACATTTTTTCGATGTTTTCGCCAATTGTTCTCGTTTTTTTTTCTTTGATTGATTAGGTTTTATTATGTGGTATGCAAAAAATTGATGTAGATGATTGGCAATCGCATACAACTTATAAAAAATACGATGCTCGATCTCCACAAGTTTTATGGTTTTGGAAAGTAAGTTGAGTTAGATTTCTTTTTTAAGTTATAGTAAATGTGTAATAAGTCTGTTTATTCGTTAATGCATGAACTGAGATACATTTCATGTTGAGAAAATTGTAACTTTAAAGCTGTCGTACATCCAGAATTTGTCGAAATTAGACTATATGAAAGCTGTTATTGCCTGTCTGTAGCTAGATCTGACAGAGGATTGCTGATTATACTCTTACTACTTCTACCACTATGGGATTTGAATCGACAACTGCATCTCTGTGCTAATGTGGTATGGCAACTCGAACTGATGTGCGTATTTACGAAGTTCTACGTTGTGACTGACTGAGCGTCATACTTTCAGAATTTGTCGAAACTGTACTATATAGAAACTGTTATTGCCTGTCTGTAACTACATCTGACAGAAGATTATATTTGAAATGGTTATACAAACACTTATGACTTGTCAGAATTGTTTATTCTTCTTGTTAAAAAGTTCTTGTTTGTCATGTAATAATAGAGTTTTAGGACATTGAATGACAATTTGTTAAGAAAAACGTTTAGATTGAAGACTTCAACAAAGTACTCAATTTTATTCACAGCTGACTTATGGGTTCATAAGGAACCAACCATCAACTGTTCCCAATCCCATCCCCCCTTTACCATATAACAGTGAAGTGGAGGATGATACCCTACCATGTTAGATGATTGGAGATAGTTGGGAGGATCTCCTACTCGATCTAAATTTAATGCTGTATACCACTCGTCAGCGAGCACATTTGCAGTCTCGAGGAAATGGGTGCTTCTTGGTAGATTCAAAATTGTGTCATTCAGTTTTATGATTTGAAAAATTACCAGTGGGTTATTGAGGCAACGAATAACAACTTGTAGGATTAATTGATGATTAAGTAGTGCTCAATGTCATATTTATCAAGTCCTACAGTATTGATCGAATTCTGTTGATCATTGTACAATGTGTCCGTTAGTCTAAGTGACTTGACATCGTGTGCACTTCTTTGTAGCAGTCTGAACGACACAGTAGTAATGTGCTTGACTATGAATCTGGGTGACGTGTGATTGAGTCCTCATGGAGAGATCACTATTCAAGGCTACAGGTACACCATGCTGACGAACGCCAGACAGCACGAAACCTAGGTGCCAAAATTTATTGACATCACCTTACATCTCAACATAATACACACTATGTCGAATCGCTTAGACTAATGACCACATTATAACTTGTTTGACAGAATTCAATCAGCGTTAAATAAAGACTTGATTTGATAGATCTATCAATTGTAAAACGTTGTATGTATTATTTAGTGTGTTCTCACCAATGTCAATGTATCTAATTACTACGTAATCTTATCTATCACCAGAGATTACCATCAATATGAAGTACATAGATGACTAAGTCTTGTTTGGTAAAGTTACTGCCGTAATACAGAATTCTTGAAAGTCCTGTTTAATAGAGTTTGACAAATGTTGCACCCTGCCTATATGCTTAGTCTAAAAATAAAAACGAATAGCGTTTGATCGTAGGTATCTTGAAGGATTGATCAAATACCGTGTAGTGACCAAGTAAACAATACTGAGTTTAGGCAAACGGTATTAATCAGAAATGGTAAATCGGTTTTAGGAGACCATTAATTTTTATTGGCTTTGATGTTTGGAACATGTATTACGTATGTTCAACTTTAGCCTACCTCAATCCTCATGTTAGCTGTCGTGTTAATAGGTTTTTTTAAAAAAACTAAGGATAAGTTGACCTAAACATTACATCAGCCCATCAACCTATTGTCTATTTATTAGGCTGAGCCACTTTAATAAGTGTCAATTACTTGTTTTGAATCTGTGCGATAACACTGACGTTAGGTGACGTATCATAAATGGACTCACTCTTTATATTTTCTATATCCTAAAATTCCATGTTTCTTCATATCTGTTCATTCTTACTCTTTGAACAATATTCTCATTGTTTTTTATCTTTCTCTTCATCATTGCTAATAAAGATTATTTCAACTCATTTACCATTCTATCTTGTGAATTTCATCTCATTGTGATATGATGTGATGCTCAGGCTGTAACCTTCATTATAACTGATTAAACATTAAGTGCTCTGGCGCGAGACTGGGTTCGAATCTCGCGAGACGAGGTCATGGATGCACACTGCTGAAGAGTCCCACAATAGGATGAAACGGTCGTCAAGCAGTGCCTCCAGGTTTTCCCTGATGGTCTAGCTTCAGTTGACTCACGCTTTCAACTATGAAAAATACTGAAATCTCCACAAAACCCCTTCTGATAATAATAAACACTAATCATCAGTTAGATTATTTTAAGTTTTCTCATTTATATACGTACTGTGATCATTTGACAGAGTACATATATATAGATAAGATATACGCAAATGTTTATTTCATTTTCAATAAGGCTGATTATTCATGTGTTTTGTAAAGAGAAAATGAATAACTATATTGATTATATGTATATATATATTAATGGTAAGAGAAATTCTGTGATATTCATGTGATTTGTAGGATTTTGCTAGAAACATTTCTTTGCATGGATCCTTTAGTTTTTAATAAAGATGTACTTGAAAGGCTGAGCTCATGAAAGGTGTTTAATCTCGATATAAAATGTGGCGCTGCAGTGCGGGATTGAGCTACTAGTGTAACACGATCAGTTCTATTGAGTAAATCGATAAGGGTAGCTATTAACCCATAAGAATCCAACTTCTGGCTACTAACGCGAGAAGACTGATTGCAGGGGAAACTGATATACAAAGTACATATATATATATATAGGCCATTTTGTTCTAGCGTGGGACTTCTCAGAAGTGCTCATCCATGATCCCCTTCAAAGGGAATCGAATTAAGACCTTCGGTCTTGGGCGCGAACGCTTAAACTCTAGACTATTGAATGGGTATGTAGTGATGTTCACGTCCAACACCAATTGATTCAAGATATTGAGCGACCGTTTTATATAGCCTGAGATGAATGGTGATGGTTGAGCTCCACTGACCATGGCATCTCATTAGAACTAGTATTCGACCACAGATGTCTTAGAAATATTGCTCTCATTCGCTGGGATCACTGGGTAAGTAATTGTGAGGTTAGACACGCAGGGTATTAGGGAATGATGGTAAATCACTTTATGGGGTCATGAATCTTCCTCAACTGAGATGGTTAGGCCACGTGTTACGTATGCCTGAACACCGATTACCACGACTCACTATACTGACCAGTGTTGGGGATGGTTGGAAGAGAGTTAGGGGCGGTTAAACCAAAACGTGGCATCAGTGCTTGAAGTCACTAACTTCTAGTCTGAGCCATGTTGGTAGATGCAGATTACTTGGTTGGGGTCCGCGTGACTATCGTAACCAATGGTTGGAGACTCTAGGTGACATGGCTCAGAATCGATCACAATCGCATAAGTATATACACTCTGTCTTCCCTTAAACCTTGAGATTAGAATTGCTTCATATATGTCTTTCTTTCTATACTATATCCCTATATACGATCTTTGTTTTATGTATTACCACCATTAAACTAACTACTTCTTTGAATTCGGTGTTCCTCTTGTTGTGCTAATAAGGTATGACAACTTGAACCTATGCATGTGTGTGCCTGGTCCTACATTGTAGCTGATTGACTGACTGAGAACTCCAAGAGTTTCATCTTGAAGTTAGTCACTAGTGAGCACGTAATATTATTGCCATACTAGGACGAAATGGTTTTCCAGTATCTCTAGATTATCATTAAGGGTCTGACTAATATCGGTTCGTAATTTAAGCTGTGAAAATCCTAGTTTTCACTTTGTCTCAAATATAAACCTTATTCTGTTGTGTTGATTTGTTTTACTGAAGCATTGCTCTCACCAGCACTAATGACCAATTGAGCAATATTGGCGTTTGTTAAACGTAGATAAAGATATTAGGTTTGAAAAGGTCAAGTTGTCAATTTATAAACTTATACTAAGTGAAAATATGCTACACATACCTTCAGTCACTGTCTAACAAATCCGACGTATATTACTGGTTGATGACAAGATTAGGTTGGCAAATACAATCTAGCAATAAGAAGGATGTCCATCCACTGATATCATCAAGGAGGTAAAAGCTATTTATCATTGAGTTTCATACTCCACCCTGTGCTATGCTGATCCAGTAAACGAAAACTTCAAAAGTTGCGTATTTGTGCTATATCCCACGTTATGACTATCGACATATTAAAGCAGCAGAATAACAATGGAGTTTTTGTATCAGAATATAATAATCTCAATATTTCGACCGACTTACACAATCCTCCAATCAACATACTGTTAATAGCTTAGAAAGCATCATATGAGCGTGACCCCCAATTATTTTGAATGTTTCTATGTGTAATTTTGAAGTGTAGACAAGAATGAGTAGATTTCTAATGACGATATGTTCCGGAATTTAGCCTGGCAATTTCATTTCTCTATTCTAATAAGGTATAGCGACATGAACTGATGTACATAGGTACCAGGTTCTATGTTGATACTGATTGATTGATTGATTGATTGATAATATATTTCTGTATTTTTTCGTACCTCGCCCTCTCTTCAGAATTTCACTGTTCTCTGCACAAAATATCACTTTGTTTTTCTCTTTTTTTTCGTGAAAATCTAGTTTGTTCGAAGTTTAACTCAACAAAAACGTATTCGATTACTTCAATTTGTCACTGGCACATGTCGTGTCCCTGTTGGTGGATTTAAAAATCTTATGGGTTAGTTTTGCTATTTCGTTTCATGTTATGATAGCCACTAAATAATAATTATTGTTATTTGCAAAGGGTAAACTGAAATTTTTCTGTAAATGTGTTACGTGGTTAGCAATGGAATCCGGGACTTACGGCCCATTTATCCCACTTCGGACTCGTCAGCTAAATGCAACTTTATCCTGTTGTTGTTAATGTTTACACTGAAACTGGAATCCAATGTTGCATCGCTTCAAATCCCAACAATATTGTACACAAATTCACTTAGTATTGTTTGGTTGAATCTTCCCATTGATGCTTTTGAACTGTAACTGGTCAGTCTCTAATTGGCATATGTGCATACTGTGCGTATTGCCTCGAAATAGCCTAAATTCACAAGCATGGTAAGCAAAGATGGATAGTGGCTAGTAGTATATTATGGTGTTATTCTTGTACCACTTCTAACATCTAAGCTGGTGTAACGCATACTGATTAATGCTCTCAGCTTTGAGCTATACCATTCGTATAACACCTAGCGATACTATCTGGTTTCTCTAGCATAATATTAAATCGGTAGCAGTTCACATATGTCCAACCATCGCCTACCTCAACGCAAAGTAACTTTGACTGGACTATTAGTTGTAGTAAGCTAAGAGGGCAGCTAAACGTAAAGATGGCATCTATTCATGAAATAGTCGGGAGTTGGAGTGAACTGTGTTGTGTTACATATAGACTACATTTGGTATGGCAACTTGGGCTAACGTTTATTTGTCCCCAACTCTGTGTTCCTCACGACTGATTGACCTATTGCCAAGAATTGAATGCTTTCCCCCATTGAGCTTACCACTTTACAACCTATAATCTGTGTCGAGCCCCATAATTATGGTTGACAGTTGAGAAATACAAGAAACACTGCAGAGACTAATGATCATGTACATGTTGTTAACCCTAAATAAAGTATATGACTGCTAGCATCTTTGTAGTGTTCCTTCTCATTTTTTTCAGTGTTTATGACAGATTCGAGGAGCAGAGTAGTTATGCTATGTCACTATAAAAGCATTTGTGTACATTTTAAAATTAGTTTGTTAGGCTAAAGGTGAATTTTTAACTAGTTCATTATTGATTAAATAGTCAGTTTTATCTAGAACCCCCAAATGCCCTGGTATGGTCGAGGGTAGGGAGAGTCCGCTCCCCCTCTCTGAATGCTCGCACATGACCACGTGTACACAGCCACTGTCAGGGAAGTCCTACTCACTGCCTTCTCGCACCACAGGTGTTGTTTACGAAATTGAGAGGACGAAAAGTGAATGTCCGGCGCTTTAACCGGGTTGGTGGATATGGAGGATCCATGTAGAGGAGTTGGAAGGGGTGCTCGACTGCATTTCGGATTAGACCTTTAGGTGGAAGGCTCTTGGTGTGGCCCACTAAGAAAACCACCTGCTTCTGTTTAAGCGTTCGGGCAGTATTCCAGCCCTTGCACAAATCGAATGATTTGTGTGGTGCATTCGTATGCACAAATTGAGGTCACTAGAAGTCTATTTTTACAAAATCCAAGTTATATCGTACATATCCCTCTTGGAATTACTTTTTGTAGCAAAATATTTGCTTCATCTCCGTTTTTTATTGTTTTCCAAACATTCATAAAAATTAAGTGCTGAAAAGCGTAGGTTCGATATTGTGCACATGTAAACATAATGTTTCATCAACAATGATCATCTATAGTTTTAGATAACTGAAAGGTTTAATCAGATCTTTCTTCCACTTAATGTAACATTCAATCTTTGTCAACTTGTGTTCACATTCTAACAGGTTTGGTACAATTTTTAAAGTTTGAAAACTGAACATAATCCTATCTGACTGGTCTTGACCACTACTACTGACCTGTTGAATTTCTTCATAGGATCAAGAACAATCTGAACTGATCTATACAGTGTTAGATTCCTGCCTTCCTTATATAAATTATGATTAACTTCTATCGAAATACCATTATTAATTATTGCTTATTTACTATTTTCATTTATTTTAGGTAATAATGGTCCACAACCATTTTGTATTGAATATATTGGTAAAGATTCATGGCTACCTCGAAGTCATACATGTTTTAATCGATTAGACCTACCACCATATAGATCATATGAACAATTAGCTGAGAAATTATCTTATGCAATTGATGAGACAGAAGGTTTTGGACAAGAATAGAACCCCTTTTTTCTGACAAAAACAGAGAAACTTACAAATTATGGTGCCTTTTTTTCATATGTATATCTTGTAGAGAAGAGAATTGAAAAGAGGGACGAAAGAAGATGGATGATCATTATTTGATTACATAACTACTTAAGTTAATTGTGTTGTATTTGATGCCAAAAAGTTGTTTTTCTTTTTCTTTTATATCCTCTATGTCGACTTCGGCTGTTTTTTTTTCCTATCCAGATGATGTAAACTTTGTTAGTTCAATTCATCGTTATTTCATAAATACGATTAGATATATACACATGTACTATTTATAGAGATATAATTGAGAATTGTGTTGTAAGCTACTACTGTCTCTGTCACATATATTCTTCATGTCCCTATCCTTTTTCTCTTTTCAAATTTATTTCACTGGACTATACTCTTTCAAACCCTAATCTTTCACATTAATGTTTATACTCTTACTACTTTTACCACTATGGGATTCGGAATCGACAACTGCATCTTTGTGCTAATGTGGTATGACAACTCGAACTGATGTACGTACGAAGTTCTACGTTGTGACTGACTGACTAACACACACACACACACACCTATAGTGAAAGACACTTTAGTAAATTAAAACACTGGTTCATTCATTCGTTAATTGTATATCGCATGCAAAATGAATTCTTTTTTAATAGTGATAGAAATCCTAATTTTTTTTCAAGGCAATGTAAACATTTGTCTTTCTGTACTACTACTACTACTACACAGTATTATTCTATTATTTACAGATTATCTAACTTGTTGATTTCTTCTTCCCAAGAACAGATATACACTTGACAACTAACTGTTGTTCTCTTCTTTCTTTACTTGTTCACTATTGTCCAAAATATTGCTGTGATCTTTTCTCCTACTGTGGGTAACATTAATTAACATTTCGTTGTACCATTCCAATGTTGTATACATGCACACACACACACACGTGCAAATCCTGATCATTATTATCCGTTATTACAACTACTATTCAATCACCACTTCCCTAAATTGATGCATACAAATACGGGTGTGCACATAGGGAAATAATAAAGGTTTGATGAAGTATAAAATTAAAATCCCCCTGAACAGTTTGTTTAAAACTAATTGTGTGTGTGGATCTCTTACTTTATAAATATGCTTGACAAGTTTTACGCATACTGTTTTGTTATAAAGCATTGTAAATGTTTCTTTATTGTTTAGAGAGGTGGTTTATTTGTTTTGTTTTTTTGTCAGAGTAAAACAAAAACCATTTGTAATTCTTCTGTTAACTTGAATCCACTATTCCCATTTGATATTGTTGTGCTTCGTAGTTGATTTTCATAATCAGTTACCACAAGTATAGATTGTGTGCATGACCTGTTGGGAGTACGTGAGCGGTTGTCATTTTCCGGTTCCATATACTATGAAAGGACACTTCTTTCTGAGGTAGCTGGATTAGTAGTGACCGCAAAGCTCAAGCGATAACTCTTTGAGGCTGGTCACATATAGCTCTTGATGTGTTAGCGCTGTACTTTTCAAACCTAGTGGCCAGGGATGGAAATCCATAAGATGAGGTGATGTGTTATTTTCTGGGTCGACCCACTCCAATTATGGGGAGACAGTATCGCTGCAAATGCTGGTTATCTAAAAGAAACGCCTTTTTACTACCACACTTCAGTAGTTAGCGGTACGACTCCCCTCGAGCCATGAGTTTGTAGCTTTTAGTCTTACTATTTTACAACTGGTCTCTGTAGTATGGTAAGATCTAGACGAACAAATGGTCTAACCAATATAACTTTTGGGTCATCATAATATCCACGTCCGACCATCATATGGTAGCAGCTACGGTCGGTGTTGTCGTGTTTCGACGACGCTGCTTTTCTAACATAGAATATAAATGTTGTCGAAGGATTTTCTATAAAAATCGACTTTCATTTTATCAATTGTAATGAAGTGATGATACTTAAGCGTGTAGTCAGTGGGTAGCAAATCTCAAGCTAACCATTGCAAAGAAATTACTAGTTTTTCTTTCTCAAACTAGTCATCATGTCAATTTGACTAACAATAGTTCAGTAGTCACAAGCAACTTAGGTCCTAACATCACAAATATGCGTCGGCCACTACAATGATATGGATCGCACTGTTATATAAGAGAAGCTGAAAGAATTAGAAATATGGTTGACGAATTTATGAAACAAAAGGCACGAAATAGTATTAAGACTCAGGATAGTCTAACAGTGAATGCATATACGTCTTTGTTGGTTAAACTAATTTTGAAGTGTGAATATACGCAACTAAGTTTCTCAGTTGGGATACTCGATGTTCACAACAATACTTTCAAGATCTAGAAATGTATGAGTGACCACGCTAACTATTTAATGTGATTTCTTTTCCTATTATTGATTTGAATTTAGGGTTCTTATGATTGGGTTGAAAAATGTACTGTCCAACACATACTCTGGTTCTCAACCTTTTTTCTTGAATCGGGTCCAGTCTGTATATAGTGTGTCGAGTATCCACCTGAGTGGTAAGACAACCTCGGTCGCCATTCCTATCACCATATAGGTGTAACATGCCTTAGAAACAGGAGATTTATCCATTTTGCACGTGTTGCACTCTCTCATAGGCGACAAATTAACTATTAAAATGATGTTCGCCTATTAGGTTTATCGCTAACATCATATCAGCTGTTTGCTAATTCTACTTGTCTATTTAAATACATAGGTTCTGATCAACCAGTCTTAGGCAACGTAAAACCTGGAGCATTTGTACATCCGTTCAATTTGCCATATTCCATTAGCACAGTGAGATGGAATTTATCAGGGCGAATCCCACTGATGTAGAGTCAGTAACAGAATTATTGGTAATGGGGAAGATTGGTTATGGAACGTAAAAATCTTCAACAGCAACAAAAACTAATTAGTGAAGTACAAAATATATTACAAAGAACGAATAGAGCGAAGGATTTTCTTTTCAATTAGTTTCTCATCATGGCTAAAACACGCTCCTAAACCGGTGGGCCAAGGGAGCGAGAGTAGTTGTAAAAACTTATTTTGAATGCGAAGGTTAGGTCGATGAACACGGATTCCCACAGCTCCAGCAATATCCAGAAGACGAACTTGTAAACTATGTGACATATTTGATGGACTGTGTGGGATAACCTTAAAAGCTGTATAGAGGTCAAATTGACGTCTTGTGTTCACCAAGTGAGCGATAATGCAACTCGGAACCACTCTTACCTGTCCTTTGCCCAACCAAGGTGGATGGTGTCCTGCTATACGTTGCTAATGAAAAATTTACATCGGGTTTCTTAACCTTTAAGTTATAACTTCACCGGTAGGATCATTTAGGAATTGAAATTGTATTGTAATTACCATTTTAACTGTTACTAGGAAGCAAGTTATATAGGGTGTACAATTCAGCAAGTTCGTCATGACTATACTAAAAAATTTATGAGGAATTTAAAAGCATAAGATTTAAAGTAAGACAACGAGTGGATGTACCCGCACCATTTTGAGTCGTCACTCAAAGTCCCTAACTATTAGTTATGATGTTCATGATGACTCAAACCAGATAGTCTGTACATGCTTATAGGGCTCAGTTTCGTCGTCGATTGATGCCACGTCCTGGTTCGGACAATTCTAGCTTCATTCCAACCTATTCCTACGTCATCCATCATAGTGCGTTGAAGCAAGCGGCGGATGGGCATACATTATAAATATCCGAACCACCTCAGTCGATAAAGATTCATTATCTCGTCTATCAACTTGTCATACATAGTGCTCCGGGTTAAATCTCAGAACCTGATTGTCCAAAATATGCAAGCAATGGTTCGCAGACACCCATAATCGAATGTCGGTACAAACATATATAGAAATAAATATGCATCAAACATTGTGAAGAGATATAAAAATAAGGGTGAGTATAATAAAAAAGCAGTAAGTGAATAGAAACAATTGGATGAGAGTAAGGTATAGTGAGAGAAACAATTCAGTTTCAAAAAAACACAACGGAGAGAATCCTGTTTCTCAATTTTGTGAAGAAAGTGAAAATTACAGTAGGATCTCTCTGAGTCATATCTAGTAACATCTCAAGCCACTAAGTTGAACTACCTCTCGGACCCCAACCACGGACTTTTGATGGACCGACAGATGCCAGTCCTACACAGCTTCCTCTCATCCCCCTGTGCCATGTCTTGAACCTACCACTTCAATTTCTCCAACCAGTCTCATAGTCAGTGAATAAAGGGCGGTGTGGAAGTCGCTAGAATTACATTTGTAGAGTATATATTTGAACAAATATTGGTACAAAGGGGCACCAAATACACATGCGCCACATAAATCACTTGGTTTGTGTGTGGGTTGTAATACTGCTCGGGTTCCCAGACCGAAGGTGTAGAGTATATCCAAACCAATGAAGCCGGTGTTTGAAAATAGTGACTAACTGAATTATTGTTACTGTGCCTGAATACAGTGCTGGGTCTCCGCGTTACTGATTTTCTGTTGGTACTGAACGTCAGTCGTCTTTTAGAGGCAACGGTGATTGATCACAGGAAGCATCCAAACACCATCAACTCGGAGTATCCAGGTTTGACAAGTATAGATAACATTCTCTTACAGAAGTGCTTTAAACACGACATCTTACACCCAGATTAATATCACGATACCACCAATCTCTGATTTTCAACGGAAAGTGTTGTACTACTCACATGATTTTCATCAATAGCAGTCAATAAATAAAAGGCGACTACGGAGCTGGCACACATATGCACTAACCTAAGCTCATACAATAGATGTACATACATTATATTATCCGACCTCGGGTCACACCATGCATTTACTTAACTCACTACGTACTAATTCGTGCACCTAGCTTCGCGCTACACTGTAAATGTGAGAACTGGTGACACCAATCGTCTCTCCTAACAGGTGTAGGTGGAGCGAGATTCAAACCAGTGACCTATTGTGGTGTGTGGTACATATGCCGACATAAGTAGTATATAACGCTAGTCAGGAACAGAATGTCTGGCAGCAGAAGGTCGAGATCGAAGAAAAGAGAACGAGAACAGAGAGTGATTGATATGGAAACGAAGGAACAACAAAGTCTGAGACGATTGACTGATATCTGTAAAAGGGACGGTCAAGTTTGAGATAATTGATAGATATTTTGCAGATGAAATATTTACTGTAAGGTTCTCAGATTTTACTAAGAGATTCTATAATTTTGTGTTCAAATACATCCGATTGCCTCCACTTGTGTTCTCATTTACTACACTATTACTGGTAAGAAGCTGCATCGTTTAACCACTTAACTATGATTGCAAACCTATCACACTTTTCAACATAGTAATAAAAAGGTAAATGGTCGGAACGAATACAAATAATATTTCTAAAGAAGAACTGGTGACCAAACAAAAAGCCTAAGTTGTAAATATTCCTTGGTTAAAAACGGGCTAACTATTCGATTATTCGAGACCGTGTTTATTGAAATGCATGAAAATTGTTTAGTCGAGAGAAATACATTTGATATTCTACTTCAGTAAGTAGCAGGAAAAACAACATGTGAACTAAATTATTTTATGATACAATATATACAGACACTAAGATGCAAACCATTTGCTACAACCTTTCAGAGGTTGAAGTTTGTTATTCTCTACTTTTTTGGAGTCATCAGAAATGGCTTCTTGAGATTTGGCGGCATCGCCACCATTTAGGATATCCACAGCATCTGATGGACGTTTGTCTTTGAATAGATCAGGAAAAACAAAAACTTCACCAGGAACCTAAACAAAATAATAAGAGAGACATTACGAAGTTAATTGGAATTATTGGTCTAAATATTAGCTAATAGTCAAGTTGTATAAACAGGGGATCACTAAAGCAATTCAGCGTTTCTAATTGATAATTGTTTGCTAATGCGATTACTAAGGGTAACCAAGCAAAGAGAATCCTTATTGCAATGTTGTAAAAGAAAACAGTCTTAACATACGTTATACTGAGACTTTTTCTCTCCGAAAATAAACGCACCCCTCAAATATTCAAATATAATAACATTCTTATCGAGAGGACTACGTAGATGAGAACAAGCAGATTTACGTAAGAAGCGAACCAAGTCAACAATCAGAACTCACTCACTATTAAGACCGCTAGTTTTTAATTAAAGCAATTGATTTTCGGTATCTGTTTAAGTGCTAGTAGCCTTATCATGGAAAATAGGCCAAAATGATTGAGATCAGTTACACTCAGTAACTTTCACTTTGGTTTTTTAAACCTATGGTTATGTTTTCGATACATGATTTGAACACTGAAAATTTATTGACAAGGCAAGGGTTGCTGTTAGTTTCGTGAGTGTACATTGTGACTTGATAAGGCAAAATGCATACCGTAATTACGGACAGTCTTGGTCAATAGAATAAGTATATTATATGCAAGTCATATGACATTCCATAATAAAATGAAGCATTTGGAAAGCTAGTCATAAGCGTGTCACTTCTATGTTCGACTACAGTTGTTCCTTCATATATTAGTCTTTGAAACGATTTAGCAGCTAAACGGTTGCAATACAACAAACACTGATGTAAATCAATCATCTAACTTGTTTTTCTACATAACTCAATGCACTGTAATAAAACGTGGCTTTACCAATTGAAAATATATCAAAATAGTTTGAACATGTATATTGCAGAAAACGAAATGGAAATATGTGCTAAAATGATGTCCATTTATTAATAAAGGAGAAAACTCAGAAACAAGAACCGTTATCAAATTAATAACAGATCGACCGAACTAAAGTTACAACTAAGCCGTTTAAATGACACTGAATTCCTGAAAGCAAATGCTACTGAATTTCCAAAGCATTACCTACATTTCCGTTGGCAGTACTTTAATACAACCAATTTTGTTAGGTTTCTGAATACCGATTAGCGCAAACCTAAAATCAAGAGATGCATAATGTTTTGTGCTACTACATACACTTACAGAGTCAAGATTGATGCTTCGTCGATGATGATGAAAAGGTGAGTTTTAGAAAGCAACTAAAGCCATTAGATTTTATTTGGTCGAACTGATGACTTTTACAGTTATGTATTCAAAGAATTTTAGCAAGATTCATTAGCAAACTTGACTTACATTTCACTGACGAGTTCGTGAATCCACTTTAATTACAATTCACTCCAGAAAAATCATTTGATATCACTTTTAAAATAATTAGTATGACATTTTTGTAATAAAAACTGGACATAAAGAGCAAAGTAGTTACGTGGATGATCAAATATTGAAAATAGACGGTGTCTTCCTTTAAAATCAATCGACAAAATGGTACCAAGGAAAAACCCCATAAGTGAAACCAAAATAAATAGTCTCCTAAATATTCTAATAGCCCTGATGATAACCAAACGTTTATGTTTAAAAATTTAATCATATACAGACATACGTCTTACCAAACGAACATATGCAACCTTTTCATAGCGTTCAGGTTTGGGGGGAAATTGTGTAGAATCGGCTAATCTCTGTGCACTACGGAATGCCGGTTCATCAATTGGTTCTACTGCACGAATAGTTACTAAATAATTAGGATTTACAATCGTGATAAACCATCTTTACTCGAACATCTGCAACAGGAACGTTGTAAATCTTTTCTAAATACTGCTGTACGTCGCGCTTAGTCATCCTGAGATAAGAAATTACAAGGTAATTACTGTGGGTGCACTTTGAAAACAACATGATTAGGAGGATTCTTTGGACCAGGATACATCATTTTCATCCAAAACGGAGGCAGAAAACATGGCACTGGAGGATCACCAGGAAAAACCTTAGGATATTCGACTTGCCGCCTCCACAAAGGGCTGTCATAACCTGAAAAGTAATCAGCTAACACCTACAAATAGTGTGTTGTTTTTGGTAAGCATATCGGTCGGATGAATATTACAGGCCGTACCCCAGGCATTTGAATCTTGCGCTTTCCAAGACCAGTTTCTTCACCTAACAACTGGCAGTGGGCCGAAACCAGTTTCAGTTTCAGTTTGGAAAGGACAGGAGGCTTGATAGCCTGTGTTAGTCCTGGCAATGATGGTCTCTCAGCTTATCCAACTTTCTTTTGAAGAAGTCGACGGATGGAGCCTCAGTCACGTGCTGGAGTAATGGATTCCACTCGTTGATTATTAGATGAGAAAGTCGGTAGTCAGCTGACAAGTAATTCGTTCTGGGCTTGTGAACTTTTTTGGAGTGTCCCCGTAGATTTTCTGTTTTGGAAGACAAGAAAAATGAGGGCATATCAGGTGCAAATTTGTCATTAAGCAATTTGAAAACTGTAATCAAGTCGCCTCTGATTCTTCTATATAACAGCGAGAATAGGTTTAGCTTGGTCAGTCTAGTACCACACGGGAGCTTCGCTATTCCGGGAATCAGCCTAGTTGCTGTTCTCTGAACCCTTTCCAAGAGTTGACTGTCTTTTTTAGACAGAGGCTAGCTGCTTGTATGCAGTACTCAAGTTTAGTGCGTACGAACACTGTATACAAGGTCAGAAACGTTTTAGCGTCGAGATGCCTAAAAGCCCTGCGTATGGACCATAAAGTCTTAAAACCTTTGGCGGCTATTGCACGGCAGTGTGCAGTAGTCTTTAAGTCTTGACTAACGATGACGCCTAAGTCATTGTGTGTCTGGACAATAGGTAACTCAGTGTTATTCATCGTGCATGTATCTGTACCCTGGTGGCCAATGTGCATCACAATACACTTGGAAGTGTTTATCGGCAATTGCCAGGTTTGAGACCATTCAGATAATCTCTCCAGGTCGTTTTGAAGTTCTAAGCTATCGCCCTTGCTTTGTATCGCTCTCCATATCTTGACATCGTCAGCATAGAGTAAGACCGATGACGAGAGTAGACGAGAGAGGTCATTTACGTACAGAAGGAATAACACTGGCCCCAAAACTGTACCAGTTGATTTGAACAGAAGGGTGAATTGGTCGCTTACTATAGCCTTCAGCGGTACTTCACACTTAATAAAAAAAATAAATTGCTAACACAGGCAAGTTCTATTCATTTATTGTTGATACTGGGTAATTCAAATTCGAGGTCTTGCTTGCGTCTTATCAAAGTTCTTGACTTTCTGGGGTTGTTAGTATTTCTTCGGCTTGTTCAAAATTCACACTGATGTAATCCATATGGTTTCTCTGAGTTCTTGGTTTTACTGTTTTTGATAGCGTTCGATGTGGAATAGTTTAGTTATGTGTTGCATTAACCCTAGTGGGTCCGACAGGGGACCAAGACATTCTGGAACATCACGAAGAATATGGAGAAAATCTTAAGATGGCTCGGTATATTCTACTTTGTAAGTGTTTTGTTAGTCATTCTCCTGAAAGGACACGATTGGGTCAGTCGGAGAAATCTACTGTAGCGGTACATGAATCCCCAAAATCAATAGTTTTGTAAATTTTTTATATTGGATGCTGACCACATTAGTTTTAATGGACTCAACTAGCTAAAGGCCCTCGGTCATGCATCCGCACCAGATCACTAGTGGAAACGCCGTGTTCAACACCCCCTGCAATTGCTAGCCAGATTAGATCAGTAAATCCACGATATGTTAATAACCTATCAAATATATCTTCCAAACTATACGCTTCTATTTTTTGATTTCACTTAGTTGGTACTATTCGTAATAGAAGATGATACTGGTTAGAGCGTTGTCAAACTCTGAATACCTGTGGCATCTTTACACGACTTCTTCTCGCTTTGTCTCATGTTACCCTTACAGTAACCCTTACGTGTGTGCAAGGTGAGGTTGTTGGTTTACAACAAATCCGAGCTCACATAACTCCTTATCTGAAATGAGGACGGCCTGATTTAAATACTTTTGGAGCTTCGTCAATAGAAATTTCTGAAGTATGCCGGATACTAACTTACATTAAATATCTGGACTAGATTTATAGATGAGTAGGGTATGTTTTCATAGACTAAAAACCTTTCGCGCCCCAGTCTTGCGGGTTTTTGTGAAAAAAAAACACGATTTACATGAGGCTCTTTATCCAAATACTCAGTTCTACCTGAAGTATTTCTTATAAATTTTAACTGTCGGCTTGAAAGCTCGTTTTCATATCCTGCCACAACGACTAGAGGATGTTGTCCTTGAGAAAATCTGAAGTTTTGTTCATAACTATTTAAGTTTCTTGTGGTGTTCTACATTGTATTCTGGCGAAGGATAATGAAGTAATAAATCTTTGGCAAGTTTGGTAGCTGTTGGTGTCTACTTTTTGTAAACGCCACACAGTTGTCAGCCTTAAATAACTATTAACTAATTATGAACTGATTTGTAAATTAACGAATGCTATCAGTAATACGTCTAGCCTTCATGAGTCTTTAACAGTGTCTCTCAAGCGCAATATTTCCTGGTTATTATTTATCATTGATATCTAGCTGATACAATTACTGAATTTTTATTACATAAGACATAGTTCATAACAAGATAATTGGGAAATAAATTGAGATTCATTAGATTTAGTGCAAATAATGACCAGGTTTAAGTATTTTGGCGTTCACTGCTTATTATTTTAAGGATATCTGTTTTCACTTTTCGCAAGCACTGTATCTATTATTCTGCTTATTTTTTTTCGGTTGATACCCAACCGATTCATTCTTTCGGTTAGGCGAGATATGTAAGAACTTCACATTGACTTTAACTGGGTGTTTTGTCAATCTTGTAATCGTAATCAGTTCCATGGTGCGACATGCTTCGCATATGCTGTTGTTGGTGGAAATATGCCGTGTTATGAAGGTTAGGAATATCAAACGAAATTTTGCAGATAACTTTGAATAAGCCAAGGAATTGATATGATTTGCATGAATGCGGAGAGGTAGGGAAAAACACTACACACAGGGCGAAACAACGTACTTTTTTCATATGAGGAAACTTTGACATATATACATGCTTATAAGCAGAAAGATCTTAATATGCCATGTGACAACTTTTCATGGTTTCGCATATCTAGTTATGTTAAGGATTTTAGATCCCCGGAACTCACTTGTTAAATACCCTATTTTTGTAATGTTACTTCGGAATTTTGAACTTCTTTGTTTTTGTGCCAAAAGCGCCCTTTTCATCTTCATGTCGTATTTCACACTTACGAAAATCTTAAATGCTATTGGTCCTTTGTGTCTTTTAGTATGCTATTTTGTAACGCTTCCCAAGGATAGTTTTATGTTGTATATATACGTTTAGTTTGTGCCTGTTGGATCGCTTGTGCTTCTGACTGCTTGTTGAATATATTTATTCCCCGTTCGGACTTCCACTTATCTTTCTAGTTAGCGGGGCTGAGTGGCATCAGAATAAATAGCTTGTTGATCTTTGGTCACTAGTCTTTGTTCCTTTAGCAGACTAGGTGAACTTGTAATCGCTTCACACATAGCAAATTGTTTTGGGAATTTTCCTTATCTATCCATCTTGCACCGCAATAACATCCTGTTTCACTCTTTAACACAAGCTGTTGCTCTACGTACCTTCATTTCTGTATTTCGTTTAATCTTAGCTCTAGATGAAGCCAATATTAATCCGTGTTTGCGGTTTCAGTTCTCTGAATTTTTTACTTCACTTATGTGGTTTTACAGAACTGTGTCGAATTTGTTTCACTGACCCGTCTTGACTTTTCAGGCTTGCGTTTTCCCTCCATGCCTAGTAGTTAGATCCACGATAGGCCACGATTCCTTAATCACACTGGAAATCTGTTTTTGGCAAGTATCTGGTTCTATTGCCTGATGCTTCATAGTTTGGCTCTACAGTGATAATACTTATAATTGAACGTCTGTGTTTGAGCGAACTAATTTTCTGACTGATTTCTTTAGACTTACATCCCTTGCTATTCTGGAATCATATGTAATACTTTCGTACCCCTTATAAATTATGTACTCGGTTTAGTTTTGATTCGACTGCGTACATCTTGCTTGGACGACTCATTCAGGTATATAGTCCGGTGATACCGCTCACTTAGGTACTTTTGTATGAATTACATTCTCAATCTTTGTGATTATAGTGGTAGTCTTAATTTCACCTATTGGAAGGAAGATTATGTGATGCTTCTCAAGAGGCTAAAATGAACGAAAACCAAAACATGATGGATATTCGAACAATACACAAATAAAATTTATAAAGTTCTACTGACAACTGGATCATTTTGCATTTTCCTACAGCTCTTGTTATTTTGACAAAGGTTAAATATGTTCTTCAAGACTTTTCATTGATACTAATCGTGTAGTTTTGTGAACTTGTTTTGATCTCTTACTTTTCATCCCTGGATAAAATTTCTAACCAGTAGTGAAATTGTTTAATTTCAGCGAAATACCATTGTTTCCCATTCAAATCGTACACCAGGCAAAAGCGTTTCCACGTTGGAGAACCTCTCGTTAGATGTTGAACTATCTCTTGGATGTCGTCAAGGTCATGTATAACTAACGTGGGTGGTTTAGCTTCGAGGGTAAAGCAGTTTGTAATAAAGAAATCTTTTGAGCTTTGGACACGCTTTCTATTGTCCAGTAGAAATGAGGAATAAAAATGCCGGTGTAAAGAACGGTTCTGTGTATCATTTTAAATTTAAATGTATATTCTCACTTAGACAAATATTACTACACAGTTGTTCAACCAATAAATGTTCAATCAGTAATCAAATACAATAACTTGTGCTACGCTGAATTCAACTTATCAGTCTCTTTTTATCTTCACTATGTATATACACCTCATATACATTGATTATCTTTTGCACTTAATTGAAACTTTCAGAGCATCACCCAAAACTATGACTGTGCTCGCACAAACACTTATTCTAACGTCATATCTTACCGCAATAATAATTTATTTACTTATTAATTTATTGTTTTATTTTATTTTTATTACTCGTTTTTGCTATACATACATAGTTGTTTATTCTTGTTCTGCGTTAAGATATTTACGTATCCCGCGTTTCCTTTATTTCTATTTCCTTAGTTTCT